CTCCGCCTCCTAGGTTCAAGCAATTCTCCTGCCTCAGCCTCCTGAGTAGCTACGATTACAAGCATGAGCCACCAGACCTGGCTAATTTTTGTATTTTTAGTAGAGATAGGGTTTCACCATATTGGCCAGGCTGGTCTCAAACTCCTGACTTTGTGATCACCTGCCAGGGTCCACATAAGTGGGCCGACCCCAGGAGTCGCCTGTATAGCTGGTGATGACACTCAGTACTTGCTTTTCTTTCTTTCTTTCTTTTTTTTTTTTTTTTTTTTTTTTAGACGGAGTCTCGCTCTGTCACCAGGCTGGAGTGCAGTGGTGTGATGTCAGCTCACTGCAACCTCCACCTCCCGGATTCAAGCAATTCTCGTGCCTCAGCCTCCTGAGTAGCTGGGACTGCAGGCGTGTGCCACCACGCCCAGCTAATTTTGTATTTTTAGTAGAGATGGAGTTTCACCAAGTTGGCCAGGTTGGAGTACTTGGTTTACTTGGGGGTTGGCTATCTGACCACCATTCCAAGTTTCGGACTGATGGAAATGTCTGAACCTTAGTGTGGGAAGGGAATAGATTCCATGGAGGAGAATGTCACTGTAGAACTTGTCAACAGTAGCCCCCAAGGTCAGGACAGCTCAGTTGGCCCCACAAGTGTGAGCCTTTTAGCCCCAGTCCCTGGTGCAAACCCTCACTCCAGCTTCAAAGCAGCTCTGTGTTCTGTTGAGAATCAATGCCAGTCTCTGAGTTGCAGAGGCTGTTCTGGAAGCCGTTTGTTCAGGGCTAAGGTCTTGTTATTAGACAAGACTGCGGTGGGGTGAGAAATTTATGGGTGAGGATGGTAGACCCCCTACCTTGTCCCTACAGAGCAGCCCCTGGCAGGGGCTAGTAGATGGCTGATAGCTTCTGGTGATGCCAGGGAGTCTTCCTGGCAGTCTTGTCCAGGTTTACCACTCAGGGAAGTTTCCGCACAGCCCCGGGGTGTTTCTGGCGTTCCCCAGCAGGGCCCAGCATCCTTACCTGTCAGGAAGAAGTAATGTGGTTTTGGGTCCAATTAGTCAAATCTAACCCTAAGCATTCCTATGCTTTATCTAGAAACTTGACCACACAGCTGTGGGCTGGCTAGGGTGTAGTGATTCCAAGCCGGCAGAAGTTGGGTAAAGTATACAAACAGAAAAAAAGTTCTTATCTGTAGGCTGGAATGGCTGTTTATCTGAACTCTGGGAATGTTCGTGAAGGAATTGGTTATTTAAGCTTCCCTGTAAAATGAAACACAGCAGTGGAGATCCAGGTAATTCCGAGTCCCGTTGAACCATAGTCATTTTTGGAAGTGGAAAGAGACCGACAGTTGTTTTAGTTCTTTAATGTTAACATATTAAATTGTAATAGCTTAACATTAAAGTTTTTTTTTGTTTGTTTGGTTTTTTTTTGGGGGGGGAATGGAGTCTCGCTCTGTTGCCCAGGCTGGAGTGCAGTAGCATGATCTCAGCTCACTGCAACCTCCACCTCCCAGGTTTAAGCCGTTCTATCACCTCAGCCTCCCGAGTAGCTGGAATTACAGGTGCATGCCAGCATGCCCGGCTGATTTTTTTTTATTTTTAATAGAGACAGGTTTCGCCATGTTGGCCAGGCTGGTCTCAAACTCCTGGCTTCCAGTGATCCGCCTGCCTCAGCTTTCCAAAGTGCTGGGATTACAGATGTGAGCTACCCCACCTGGCCCACATGAAAGATATTTTAATTTTGTTTGTTTGTTTGTTTGTTTGAGATGGAGTCTTGCTCTGTTGCCCAGGCTGTAGTGCAGTGATGTTATCTCAGGTCACTGCAACCTCTGCCTTCTGGGTTCAAGTGATTCTCCTGCCTCAGCCTCCAGAGTAGCTGGCATTATAGGTGCATGCCACTACATCCGGCTAATTTTTGTATTTTTAGTAGAGACGGGGTTTCACCATGTTGGCCAGGCTGGTCTCAATCTCCTGATCTCAGGTGATCCACCCGCCTCGGCCTCCCAAGTTCTGGGATTACAGGTGGGAGCTACTGTGCATGGGCAAAGATATTTTAATCTCAAATCTGAAAGAAAGACAAAATCGGGGATCGTTTCCTGCTTTAAATGATATTAACTTTAAAATCTATTCCAGGGCCGGGTGTCATGGCTCACACCTGTAATCCCAGCACTTTGGGAGGCTGAGGTGGGTGGATCACCTGTGGTCAGGAGTTGGAGACAAGCCTGGCCAACATGGTGAATCCTCATCTCTACTAAAAATACAAAATGTAGCCAGGTGTGGTGGTGGGCACCTGTAATACCAGCTACTTGGGAGACTGAGGCAGGAGAATCACATGAACCTGGGACATGGAGGCTGTAGTGAGCTGAGACTGCACCACTGCACTCCAGCCTGGGCAACAGAGCAAGACTCTGCCTCAAACAAAAACACTAAAAAAAATATATATATATATATATATATATGTATTTCAACTCAGATTTGAATATTTGTGCAATTTGAACTTAGGGGAAAGTGTCCTTTTGAGACAGGGAAAATAAAATTAGGTTGTTGGGGCTGTGTGGGGGACAGGTGGTGGTGATCTGCTGCGAAGTGACAATGAGAAGTCTTCTAGTTTTATTATTTTAAATTTTTTATGATTATTCTTTGTAGCGACAGAGTCTCACTCTGTTATCCAGGCTGGAGTACAGTGGTGCAGTCATAGCTCACTGCAGCCTCAAACTCCCGGCCTCAAGCGGTCCTCTGGCCTCTGCCTCCCAAAGTGCTGGGATTATAGGCTTGAGCTACCATGCCTGGCCAAGAATGAGAAATCTTTGTGGAAGGAGACTACTGGGATCCCTGAGAAGGTTTCAGCTATAGATAACTCATATCTCCCTTCTTGGGGTCCAGGCCATGGTCGTGGCTTGGGCAGAGAGGTTGGGGAGACCAGGTGTGTGCAGGCCTGAGATGTGACTCAGTGAGAGACGAAGGACAGTCTTCACTTGCTGGCCAGACCGCTCCCAGGGAGTTGCATCAGTGGGCGGGGCGTAGAGATAAGCCTCAAAGAGGAATGTGGTTCTAACTCAGGTCCTGGGGCTTCTACCTGTCTGGGGTGGGAAGAACACCATTAAGTTAAAATGAAACTTTCATTCTGATCTCAAACTTTATAGCACAAAACGTTGTAATCCAAATACCCCAGGGCGTAATGGTCAGAGAACACAAGCAGACAGTTTGCTGAAAAACATTTAAGTGATCAAGATTATCCAGAGAAACCTTTACCTTCACTGTTACAATAAACATACACATTAGAAGAATGAGATATCTGTTTTTGCTTGTCAGTTTGGCAAAGATTAAAAATCATAATTTTCAACTATACAGATAAAAAGACAACCCAGTGTAAAACTGGGCAAAGGAGGGCCAGGTGTGGTGGCTCACACCGGTAATCCTAGCACTTTGGGAGGCTGAGGTGGGCGAATCACTTGAGGTCAGGAGTTCAAGACCAGCCTGGCAAGTATGGTAAAACCCCATCTCTACCAAAAAATACAAAAATTAGCTGGGTGTGGTGGGATGCACCTGTAGTCCCAGCTACTCAGGAGGCTGAGGCAGGAGAATCACTTGAACCCAGGAGGCGGAGGTTCCGGTGAGCTGAGATCGCACCACTGTAGTCCAGTCTGGGTGACAGACTGAAATCGTGTCTCAAAAAAACAACAACAACAACAAAAAAAAAAACTGGGCAAAGGATCCAAATTGATATTTCTTCTAAGAAGAAAAGCAAATGGCCAATAAGTTCATGAATGAAAAGATATTCAACGTCATTAACTGTCAGGGAGACACAGTTCAGAACCACAGTGAGCGATAGCACACACACAATGTAGCATTCATAAAAAGGATAGACCAGCACGTGTATTGGTGAGATGTAGATGAGTGGGAACTCTCGTGCTGTTAGCAGGATTGTAAAATTGTATAACCACTTTGGAAGAGTCTGATAGCTCCTCAAATGGTTAAACATAGAATAAATCATATGATCTAGCCTGTGTGCAGTGGCTCACCCCTGTAATCCCAGCACTTTGGGAAGCCAAGGCAGGCGGATCACTTGAAGTCAGGAATTTGAGACCAGCCTGGGCAACATGGCAAAACCCAGTGTCTACTAAAAACACAAAAATTACCTGGACATGGTGACATGTGCCTGTAGTCCCAGTTACCTGTGAAGCTGAGGCGCGAGAATCACTTGAACCCAGGAGTTGGAGATTGCAATGAGCCAGGATCACGTCTCTGCACTCCATTCCGGTCAGCAGAGCAAGACTCCGTCTCAAAAAAAAAAAAAAAAAAAAAAGTAGATAGTAACAATGAGGGGAAGTAGTCACAAGGAAGTGTGTGCCTTTCTGTCCTGTAGTATGATTGGGCTGGTCCACAGTAGCCCTAAAGGAGTTTGATCATATAACTCTGCCCTAGAGATATGTCTTTAATTAATTATTTACTGGATTAATTTATTTTTGTCACTTTGGTTGCTGAGGCTGGAGTGCTGTGGCACAATCTCAGTTCACTGCATCCTTTGTCTCCCAGGTTCAAGCGATTCTCGTCCCTCAGCTTCCTGAGTGGCTGGGACTACAGGCTCACACCACCACACCGGGCTAATTTTTGTATTTTTAGTAAAAGCAGGGTTTTGCCGTGTTGGCCAGGCTGGTCTCTAACTCCGGACTTCAAGTGATCCACCTGCCTTGGCCTTGGCCTTCCAAAGTGTTAGGATTACAGGCATGAGCCACAGCGCCTGGCTAAGACCCCGTCTCCAAAATAAGTTAATTAAATAAATAAAATTAAAATAAATAAATAAAATAGATGAGAAGGAAAGACCAATTCACAGTGGCTGTTTTGGAATTGTGTTATTATGAGTGACTTTTCTTTATACTTTTCAATATTTTCTCTGTAGATGCTTTGTTTTCAGGAAAGATTGTTTTTAAAGTTAAATGTTTTCCATTATATTAAACACCGTCATCATTATTAAAGTGGCTGACCTCTGAAGGGGCATCTCTTATTTTTCCTCAGGGCTGTAATCCCCTTGCACAAACTGGCCGGAGTAAATTGCAGAACCAAAGAGCTGCTTTGAATCAGCAGATCCTGAAAGCCGTGCGGATGAGGACAGGAGCGGAAAACCTTCTGAAGTAGGTGCCTTCTGGCTTCCCTGCCTCTCCTGAGTCCTAACCATCTGTTTCCTATACTCCCAGGCCTGGCTCTTGGTTTCAGCTTTGGGTTTCCTCCTCATTTCTGGCATCTGCGGTCATCCCTTTCTTGCCTGGAGCTCAGTTATGCTGGAAACAGATACTTTACTCCGCCTGTTTGTGTGTTTGGGGATTGGGTGGGTGGCAGATGGATGTGGGCGGTGTGGCGTTTGGCCTCAATTCAGTCAGCCATCTTGGTGGGAAGCCCAATTATTGTCTTGAAGTTTGTTTTCTGGCTTTCTCTGGGACTTGTCTAATGCCTGGCGCAGAATCTGCTTGGTAAATGTTTATTGAATATATAAAGGAAAGAAAGGCAGGAAAGAGAAAGGTGGGACGTTTCTATTGCCAGTGTCGGCCTTGCTAACGAGAGGGCTCAGCATAGCCCCATGTTCTAGGGCACTCATTAGTATCCTCTGGTGGGAGAACAGTTGCTTATCTAGCATAGAACTCAGAGAAGCCTTACTTGTGTCTAGACCAGTGTAAACCCTCTCCAGGCAACGAAATGCAACAAAAGACAATGTATCAGCTTATTCTGTTTACAAACAGTGTAGAGTTTCTTCCTCCTTCAGTTCTGCTCGTGACTCTTTTTAGCCCTGTGCCACCTTTTTGTTTGTTTGATTTGAGACAGTCTTGCTCCGTCGCCCAGATGGGAGTGCAGTGGCTTGATCTCGGCTCACTGCAACCTCTGCCTCCTGCGTTCAAGTGATTCTCCTGCCTCAGCTTCTCAAGCAGCTGGGACCACAGGTGTGCACCACCACGCCTGGCTAATTTTTTCTTTTCAGTAGAGATGGCGTTTTACCATATTGGCCCGGCTGGTCTCGAACTCCTGGCCTCAGTGATCCATCCACCTCCCAAAGTGCTAGAATTACAGGCATGAGCCCCCCACGCCCGGCCCCATGCCACCTTTTACAATGTGTAGTTGAGGTGGGCACCATACTGCTGCCCAGGTGAATGAAAAAGATGCCTCCTGGGGCCTCTGGAAGAGACATGGAGTGCTTTGGGGGACCCAGAACCTAAACTCCAGCAGAGAAGAGCCTGGCTTACCTGCTTGAAACTGCAAGTCCCTTGGAGCTTCCTGGGACTTTCAGGGATTCCAGGGACGAGGGTGCCAAAATGTCTGCGAGGATATTGATCGTGGGTATTCCCAGTGGGTTAGCTTTATTGGTGAAGGCCTTAGGGAACCTGGAGCCTTCCTGAGGGGTCGTTTGGAAAAACAGATACACTGAATGTTTGTAAAAGAGCCACAAGGCTCTGAGGCTCCCAGCATCTGGTCACAGACTCGAGTGAATGGCGGGATCACCTCCTCCCTGTGGGCTGCTCCCTTGAGCACTCAGTCAAGCAGGAGGAGGGGTTCTGGTCATGACTTTGGGGACAGTTCATTTCTTAATGGGTCTGTGTTTGCTCCTTAGGCAAGACCTCTTAGATATTAAGAGGTAAAAAGAAAAGTTCAGGCCGGGTGCGGTGGCTCAAGCCTGTAATCCCAGCACTTTGGGAGGCTGAGGCGGGTGGATCACGAGGTCAAGAGATCGAGACCATCCTGGTCAACATGGTGAAACCCCATCTCTACTAAAAATACAAAAAAACATTAGCTAGGCATGGTGGCGCATGCCTGTAATCCCAGCTACTCAGGAGGCTGAGGCAGGAGAATTGCCTGAACCCAGGGAGGCGGAGGCTGCGGTGAGCCGAGATTGCGCCATTGCACTCCAGCCTGGGTAACAACAGTGAAACTTCGTCTCAAAAAAAAAAGAAAAGTTCGGAGCAGCACACCCTGAGTGCGTGTATGTGTGTTTAATGGATTTTGTACATATACAGCCAGGCATGGTGGCTCATGCCTATAATCCCAGCACATTAGGAAGCCGAGGCGGGTGGATCATTTGAGGCCAGGAGTTCGAGACCAGCCTGGCCAATGTAGTCAAACCCCCATCTCTACTAAAAATACAAACATTAGCCAGGTATAGTGGCACGTGCCTATAATCCCAGCTATTCAGGAGGCTGAAGCATGAGAATTGCTTGAACCTGGGAGGTAGAGATTGCAGTGAGCCGAGATTGTGCCACTGCACGCCAGCCTGGGTGACAGAACAAGACTCTGTCTCAAAAGAAAAGAAGAGGATGGGCCGGGCGCGGTGGCTCAAGCCTGTAATCCCAGCACTTTGGGAGGCCGAGGCGGGTGGAACACGAGGTCAAGAGATCGAGACCATCCTGGTCAATATGGTGAAATCCCGTCTCTACTAAAAATACAAAAAAAATTGGCTGGGCATGGTGGCGCGTGCCTGTAATCCCAGCTACCCAGGAGGCTGAGGCAGGAGAATTGCCTGAACCCAGGAGACGGAGGTTGCGGTGAGCCGAGATCGCGCCATTGCACTCCAGCCTGGGTAACAAGAGCGAAAACTCCGTCTCAAAAAAAAAAAAAAAAAAAAAAAAAGAAAGAAGAGGATGTTGTACATATGCTTTTGTGTACACACAAAAGGATGAAGGTAGAAGCTATTAGCAGATTCGGCTTTTTGGGGCAAGACTGGAGATGGGGGTAGAGGTGACTCACTTTTCATTTTAGTCCTGTCAGTGTTTGAATGTGCTTCTAAATGCATGAGTTATTTTTATTTATTGTGTAATACTTCAGAGGTCCAGAAGAATTATATAAGCAACTCTCTTGAACCACCCACTCCATCAGGAAAAGCAATGCTACTGCTGTGTCGGGCTTGGTTTGGTTTAGTTTAGTTTAGTTTAGTTTTGAGACAGGGTCTCGCTTGTTGCCCAGGCTGGAGTGGAAGGGCATGATGTTGGCTCACTGCAACCTCTACCTCGTGGGTTCAAGTGATTCTTCTGTCCCAGTCTCCTGAGTAGCTGGGATTACAGGCATGCATCACCATGACCAGCTAATTTTTTATTTTTAGTAGAGTGGGGTTTCTCCATGTTGGTCAGACTGGTCTTGAACACCTGACCTCAGGTAATCCACTCACCTCGGCCTCCCAAAGTGCTGGGATTACAGGCATGAGCCACCACGCCTGATCTTCATTTATTTTCATTCATTCATTCATTCATTCAATCATTTAGTTTTTGAGATGGAGTCTTGCTCTGTTACCCAGGTTGGAGTGCAGTGGCATGCTCTCTGTTCACTGCAACCTCCACCTTCCAGGTTCAAGTGATTCTTGGGCCTCAGTCTCCCAAGTAACTGGATTACAGGAGCACACCACCACCACCCCGCCCCCGCCGGCTAATTTTTACTTTTTTTTTTTTTGTAGAGATGGGTTTCACCATGTTGGCCATGCTGGTCTCAAACTCCTGACCTCAGGTGATCCGCCCGCCTAAGGTGTTGAGATTACAGGAGTGAACCACCACACCCAGCCTGTTTTATTTTATTTTTTTAAAGAGACAGGGATCTCACTATGTTGCCCAGGCTGGTCTCTTGGGTTCGAGCAATTTTCCTGCCTCAGCCTCAGGATTACAGGTTTGAGCCAGCATACCTGGCCTCCTTTTTTTGTTTGTTTTTTGAGACTTGAGAAAGAATCTCACTCTGTCACCTAGGCTACAGGGCAGTGGTGCCTTCATAGGTCAGCACCACACCTGGCTAATTTTTTTTTTTTTTTTTTTTTTGAGACAGAGTCTGGCTCTGCCACCCAGGCTGAAGTGCAGTGGCATAATCTTGACTCACTGCAACCTCCATCTCCCAGGTTCAAGCGATTTCTTCTTCCTCAGCCTCCCGAGTCGTTGGGACTACAGGTGTGTACCACCACACCCGACTAATCGAATATATATATATATTTTTTTATAAAGACAGGGTTTCACCCTGTTGGTCAGGCTGGTCTTGAACTCCCGACCTCAGGTGATCCGCCCATCTTAGCCTCCAAAGTGCTTGGATTACAGGCGTGAGCTGCCACGCCCGGCAATTTTTAAAAATTTTTTGTAGAGACAGAGTTTTACCATGTTGCCCACGCTGGTCTCAAACTCCTGGCCTCAAGTGATCCTCTTGCCTCAGCCTCCCAAAGTACTGGGATTTCAGGCGTGAGTCCCTGTGCCTGGCTATTGAGCACCTCTTCAATGGCAGGCAGAGTTGAGGTGCATGCAGTTCAGACGAGGCCCTGTTTTGGGATTTCCCTTGTTGGGGGATGGGAGGAGACCTTCATAGACAAGTAAACAAATCGAATCACCTCGGGAAGTGATGTTTTCTAGGGAATAATGAACTCTGAATGTGATAGAGTTTGGCGCAGGGTGGCCAGCCCTAGAGACAGAGAGAGGGTGATTGGAGAGGCCCCTGGGAGCAGGGAACTTGCAGTTTCTCAGGCAGGAACTAGGACAGTTTTGTGTGTCGTATTCTCTTAACGACACCAGCAGTCAGCCCTTCTGAGGCCCACGCCTGACTCAAGCTCATTGTCACACTGGCAGTTGCTTGGGTTGGCAGGGGTGGGGGTGGGGGTTGTTAATGATTCTCACAGTGGCCCAAAGGTTCAAAGTGCCCCTTGCTGGAGAATGTTGTCAGAGGAAACCCTGGAGGTATTTATTAATCTGACTCAGTAAGCACCAACGGATTCCCGAAAACAAATGGGGCGTTTTGCCAAGTGCCGCTCTGGCCCGGTGGTGTCCCTGGGCGACCGATTACGTGGCTGTCCCTGCAGGCCATGGGTGGTTTCAGATGTAAAACGGGCCCTGCTTTCCTTCTGTCTTCTGGTTCTCAGGTTTCCCAACGCAGCCCCCGAAGGAAAGTAGAACCGTTGGAATAGGGGCGGGGGATGTTTGGAGATGTCCCCAGAAATGCAGGAATGGACATGGGGGTGCTAAGCCCTTACCTGAGGGCTACTGGAGGGTATCGTGGCTGGGCAGGCACTTGAAAAACCAGACTTTGTGATCCTTCAAAGTCTTATTCGAACCAGGAGTCCATGAGCTTCCTGGAGTTTGCTTTGGACGATACCAAATACTTCAAATGTGTTTTCAGTTTCTTTCTTTTTTTT